TGTCAAACCAATCATGTTTCCAACACTGCCCTCTACATTGTCAAACCAATCATGTTCCCAAAACTGCCCACGACATTGTCAAACCAATCATGTTCCCAAAACTTCCCATGACATTGTCAAACCAATCATGTTTCCAACACTGCCCTCTACATTGTCAAACCAATCATGTTTCCAACACTGCCCTCTACATTGTCAAACCAATCAAGTTTCCAAAACTGCCCACGACATTGTTAAACCAAACATGTTTTCAAAACTGCCCACGACATTGTTAAACCAATTATGTTTCCAAAACATCCCACGACATTGTCAAACCAATCATGTTTCCAAAACTGCCCACGACATTGTTAAACCAATCATGTTCCCAAAACATCCCACTACATTGTCAAACCAATCATGTTTCCAAAACTGCCCACGACATTGTTAAACCAATTATGTTTCCAAAACTGCCCACGACATTGATAAACCAATCATGTTCCCAAAACTGCCTACGACATTGTCAAACCAATCATGTTCCCAAAACATCCCACGACATTGTCAAACCAATCATGTTCCCAAAAACTGCCCTCGACATTGTCAAACCAATCATGTTCCCAAAAACTGCCCCCGACATTGTCAAACCAATCATGTTCCCAAAACATCCCACGACATTGGTAAACCAATTAAGTTTCCAAAACTGCCCACGACACACGACATTGTCAAACCAATCATGTTCCCAAAAACTGCCCTCGACATTGTCAAACCAATCATGTTCCCAAAAACTGCCCTCGACATTGTCAAACCAATCATGTTCCCAAAACATCCCACGACATTGTTAAACCAATTATGTTTCCAAAACTGCCCACGACATTGTTAAACCAATCATGTTCCCAAAACTGCCCTCTACATTGTCAAACCAATCATGTTTCCAAAACTGCCCACGACATTGTTAAACCAATCATGTTCCCAAAACATCCCACGACATTGTCAAACCAATCATGTTCCCAAAAACTGCCCTCGACATTGTCAAACCAATCATGTTCCCAAAAACTGCCCTCGACATTGTCAAACCAATCATGTTCCCAAAACATCCCACGACATTGTCAAACCAATCATGTTCCCAAAACTGCCCAGGACATTGTCAAACCAATCATGTTCCCAAAACTGCCCACGACATTGTTAAACCAATCATGTTCCCAAAAACTGAACTCGACATTGTCAAACCAATCATGTTCCCAAAAACTGCCCTCGACATTGTCAAACCAATCATGTTCCCAAAAACTGCCAAGGACATTGTCAAACCAATCATGTTCCCAAAACTGCCCAGGACATTGTCAAACCAATCATGTTCCCAAAACTGCCCACGACATTGTTAAACCAATCATGTTCCCAAAACTGCCCAGGACATTGTTAAACCAATCATGTTCCCAAAACTGCCCACGACATTGTCAAACTAAGCATGTTCCAAACATTACACCGAACACGAGAAACACAAGAATTCATAAAGAATGTTTATTGGTTAGTACATCAACCTCAATGCTCATGATTGGACCAACAAAACACTGATTGCATACATAGGCTAACAAAGGCTTGAGTTTTTATTGCACTGCAAAAGATCAATTTGTTTATACAACACACGGGATGCACCAATGTGTACAGTCCATATGCGATTATGATACAACTATGATACACTTATGACGATACATGGCATCATTACTAATTGTTGTTCAATATAGTTTTCTAGAATGCTACTTTGATATGTTTTGTTTTTTATAGTTTTACTTAGCTATTTCTTTAGATTGCTGCTTTTCTCTATTGTTCATTGCTACTTTGCTCTGTTTTAGAGTATTACTTGTTGTTTCAGAGTGCTATTTTGCTCTGTTTCAGAGTGCTACTTTGCTCTGTTTCAGAGTGCTACTTTGCTCTGTTTCAGAGTGCTACTTAGCTCTGTTTCAGAGGGCTACTTTGCTCTGTTTCAGAGTGCTACTTTGCTCTGTTTCAGAGGGCTACTTTGCTCTGTTTCAGAGGGCTACTTTGCTCTGTTTCAGAGTGCTACTTTGCTCCGTTGACGTCTCAAAATCTTGAAACGTTTAGGTGAATGTTGATAGAATTACAAGAGGAAGGCCAAGATGAACTCAACCATTTGTTTGTTTGTTTATGATTCAGCCCCTGAATTTATAGAGACAAAAAAAACGCCATTAACCCATTCAACGCGATACGTCCATCATTGACTTGATGCGCCCATCATTGACTTGATGCGCCCATCATTGACTTGATGCGTCCATCATTGACTTGATGCGTCCATCATTGATTTGATGCGTCCATCATTGACTTGATGCGTCCATCATTGACTTGATGCGTCCATCATTGACTTGATGCGTCCATCATTGACTTGATGCGTCCATCATTGACTTGATACGTCTATCATTGACTTGATACGTCCATCATTGACTTGATGCCACCCCTCTATTTTCATTGACAGCCTCTTCGTTCAACGTCGTATCAGAAGCAGTGATTATTTCAGAAATTTTCCCGGGGGAGGGGGGGGGCACTTCAGATTTTTTCGGGAGTGCCAGTTGAATTAAAGTTGGACATATTTTTGCTCGGGAGGGGGGCACTTGGCTTTTCCCGCGGAGGCAGCCCCCCCCCCCCCGGAGATATACCTGAAAGAAACCCTGATCAGAAGTGGTCCCAACCACACTCAAGACCGCCAATCAAAAGGATGTTTATTCCTTATATCACTTATTGAGTCTTCAATTTAGTCTCCTTCACAAACATAAATAGGCTTTTTTTTTCCCCTTCACATTTTCGATATCAATTCAAATATGTGGATTATCCTAAGCAGGGAAAGTAGATGTGTTTATGGGCCCCGAAACATAGGATACAGTTATTTTAAATTGATATGTTCTTGAACGTATATTTTATAACGCAACCTACAAACAGACATTTCGAACATCTGCATTCATTAAAAATTATACAATAAGTGGAGCAAAGAAAGAATTATGGGAAATGCAAGCCAAAAATTGTAGTGCTTTCCCTTTGGAACAAATTTCATTCTCTTTATTAAGGTCTCTCGTTGAGTTTGTACCAACAACTATAATTTTTAAAGGAGCTGCTAAAAGATTTAGGCTAGAGAAAGGGACGGAACTTGCTTGATGTAGTTGTCTATTCAGACTCAAGATCTGCTCTCGAGATGTTGGGAAAGAGACAGGGTACCACCCACTTGTCGACGTCATCACCAACGACGTGTGCAAAATTGGTGAACTAGGGGGGCAAGGTAACAATACAGTGAATACCGGGCCACGTCAACAGACCCTAGAGCACCTGTTGACCGAATGTCCCTCACTAGATCTCCCATGGGAAGCCAGGGTGGTTGGAGGACCCTTTGTGAGGAAGATGTTGTATGGCTCAGCTCAGCAGATGGAGTTGGTAGCCAATTTACTAGCCGGGGTCATAAGAGAGTAATCTCAGACCCTCACCAGAATATGTGTGTTAGTTAGTATGTCATATATTTTTGTGGTTTTGTCTGCTATGTTTGTCATCTGTGTGGGTCTGCGAATTTACTTTATATCTTTATATCCCCCCCCTCCCAAATATAATCATAGACTACTGTGGACTACTTTTGATGTGAATTTTTTACTATCATATTAAGGTTAACTGCAAGTTAATTAACCTCATTCATCACTGCACCTCCCCCCACATTCAACCCACCCAATCAAAATGGAAGTTGAACACTTTAAAAAAAAATGTTGTTCAATATTCCTGAAATGAAAATGCTTCTGTTACTGTAAGCCTATGCCTACACAAAAAGTGATACCAGGAAAATTACTAAAGTAGGTCTATGTATAGGTATAGTAGCGAATAAATGAAACGTTATCTATAGAAAATTTTGTCTAATATCATAATTAATATTAATTCACAACATTTTAATTAAATTAAAACTAAAAAAGTGAAATTCACTCATTTTTAAAAAAACACAAATAATCTCAAGAATTTTTTTCAAATAATTATCTTATTTTTATCCACATTTGGTATTAAAAAATGCCTCTGCCGATGGTCTTAGGCGACCCCTGTGAAAGGGTTTTTAGACCCCCAAAGGGGTTGAGAACCGCTGCTTTAGACTATAGGGATCAAAGATATGATTCAACACTAAAGTAGCATGTCATTTATGTAAAAATTAATGTTTATACAATTAAAATATTCAACACAATTTAATACTTTTCATTATGTAGAAATACACATTCAACAAAAAATAGGGGGGGGGGGAAATTATTTTTTAAAAATTGGAGGGGGGGGGGGGAATTATTTTTAAAAATGTAAAAATTAATGTTTATACAATTAAAATATTCAACACAATTTAATACTTTTCATTATGTAGAAATACACATTCAACAAAAAATAGGGGGGGGGGTAATTATTTTTTAAAAATTGGAGGGGGGGGGGGTAATTAATTTTAAAAAATTGGAGGGGGATATTATTTATAAACTAAACCCTTTTTTTTGTTAAACAGTGCATGAAATTAAATTATTATTTTAATATTTACATCAGAAGAAAAAAATAATAATTTCATACATTAAAAAAAGTAATCAATCACATCTTTTATTAAATAAATTTTAATGCCTCAATTTAATTTTAGATTTCACCATTTTGTTTCAATAAAGTTCCCACTCACCAGCATTTCTGATATAAATACAGAATTATCTTCAATTTTTATTTACAGTTTAAAATTTTTCAATTAAATAATTTTATAAGAAGGATGCTTAAAAAATGTACAACCTTATATCATGTTTGTGTATCATTTATACTCAGAAAATTTCACTGGAATAACACAGACTTGTTTAATCAATATTGATCTGTTGGGTCAAATTTACTAAACAAAACATAACTCAAATGTTGGAAATAATTCTATTAATTTTCTTTTAAATTATTTCTGATATTCATTCATTATAATAACTAAAACATCCACTTTTATAAGGTTAAGATTAAAAAAATATCAATACATTAAAAAAAAACATTATTGAAAGTGTTAAGATAAAGAAATTCATATATAAAGAAACATATTCTTCCGAAATCAAATGTAATTGAAACTCAAGTTTTGTGCATAAACAGATTCTACATGTGATTTAAAAGACCAATTTCAATATCAATTATAAACAATGTAAGTCTTTCCAAATGCTCTATTTCTCTTATCTGTCCATATTGTTTTTTAAAGATATGCTTTCATTTATTTGATTGGATTAATTTCAAAAGTTCCTTTACGAATGGTCTGGGCTTTTTAAAACTCCAGGTTTGTTAAATCTCAGTTAAGCTTTATATAACTCATTATTTTGAGTTGTGTGCTCATGTCTAAACCTCTGTAATTTTCTTACTGAAACGTGGAACAGGCATATCCATGCTGAAGTTGTCACTGACTGTCACATCATCAATATTCATATCATCAAACATGTCCATGTCACTCATGTGGTCAGGGACAAACAGGTCATCATCACTGACGGTTCCGGGCCGATAGTTGTCGTACTCTGACTCATAGGCAGCTGAGCCAGAGTCGCCATTGATGTGAGGGTCTGACTGGGACATTTCACTGCTGCTGGCCAGTGAGCTGAGACTTGTGTGCTCTGCTCTGGATGCTGCAGTTTGGGCCCCGAAGATGAGAGGCATGAGATAAGCGTGTCTGGTCTTTGGACTGGCGCAAGCTGAACTAACAGGAGACGTGGCATCCTCACGGTCGCTTGGAATGTAATCTAAACTTCTGCAGTGCCGTGGAGGTATGCTGTGCGGTTGTCTCCTCTTGATTTGGAACGGGTTGATTGACAACCTGTGCACATTTGGTGCCATCCTGGTGGAGGGGAGTACCCCCTGGTTGTCCATGCCACTATTTAATCTCCTTTTCAGGTGATCTTTTTCTCGTGTCTCTGGAGATTTTGGAGGCTTGTTGTAACCTGACATGTGGTGGGATGGGCGATTCTCTGGTTCATCGTACAACAAGGTGTCAAGGTCAGGCTGGTCATACTCTTGCGTTAGCTCTTGCAATAATTGGGTCAATGAAGCTGAGGCCTCTGGGATGGGAAATTTTGGTGTAGGGGGGCAATGGGGAATGCTGTTGATGGTATCACTAGATCTAGATCTGAAGCGATCTAGAGTGCTGTAAGGGGATGTGAAAACATAGCTCAGTACACTATGCTTGTCATCTTGGTGAGGTAAGTGGCGAATTAGTGCATTTCTTGACGGCTTCAGTTCTATTGGATTCAAAAACACAATGGAAGAATGGTCACTTGGAGGATGTGAGGATATCGAGTCTTTCTCATCATCGGACACAAAGTTCATGTTAAAAGCCTCTCTTCGCTTCTTTAGCGGAGACAGCGATGCCCCGAGCTTGTGGGTAGGCACAGATGGGTAGGATTTGCGATAACTGCTCTTGATTTGATGGGCTTCGTTTTGCCCATATCTTAAACCATTTCTTTGAATGGCCCATGGCTTGACCTGGGCAGCCCAAGGTTTGGGTGCACTGGGGACCATGCCGTTTTCGGTATTGTTTCTGGGGTCATAGAAAAGTGACATTGTTTTCCCATCAATACTGGCTACTAACCCTCCAGTGGGGGTGACAGTGGAGTTAGAAGATGGGCTGGTCATATCCTCAACAGCCGCTGATGCTTGCTTGTCTCCCTTTTTATGTTCAGGTGAATATTCTGAAACATCATCATGAATGATGACCGTCTGCTCTGAGGAGGCGGTGCTTCTAAGAGACGGTGTGGTTGATTGGCACCTTTCAAATGACTCCCGGCTCCTTTGGGACGAGGTCGATGAGGGGCACTTATCAATGGGTTCACGATAAACCCCAGTAACAAATCGGTCATTACTGTTTCTAGATACATCTTCCGGTGATGGTTTTAGTGGTCTGGTTAGGCACTCGGAAAGTTGTGCGTAGTAACTTTCCTGCTTATTGCTCTGGCCTAGCACAATTCCATTGTGTAATGTTGCATCACTGGGCAAGTAAGCCTTGTTCGGACATTTTCCATGAGAATTAAAGCTTGTCATATCTTCTAGTATTGCATCCTCGGTTACTCTCTTAAGATGTGGTTTTGTTGGAGGAGAAACACATTGATAGATGGGAGGGGCATTTGTCCTTGAATGAGGGGGGCTGCTGCCAGTCAGTGGTATAGCAGGAGGTTTACAGTTTGGCTCAGAGCTGACTTTTCTTAAAGAGTGCAGGGAGGTAGTTTGCCCACGGGATGTGTTGCTGCCGGCCATGGTGACGGCCTTGCCGCCATCCCCAAGTACTTTGGTGGCTCTTGCACCGTCACTGACTGTTGACTTAGGACTGGTGGGGCTGCCTGGACTTGTGGGTGAAGAAACTTTGGCTTTCAGGCTATCAAAGATGGAGTTTTGTACTTGCACAGACACAGGTCTGGCTTGCTGGTTTTGCATCTTTGCATTAAAAAAGTGTACGGCTGGCAACTCCGGACCCCCTACATTACCTTGAGCTGTGTTACCGGCAGAGGAACTGCTGAGTTTCCGTAGCGGGTTTCTGTGCATGCTGGGGCTGTCCATGGAATTTTGACGCTTTTTATTGAGACTGCCCGTTGGAGTTGAGGCGCCACGCTGCCTCTCCATGGTGGATGTTTGGTGCTGGATTCTTTCAGTGCTGGATGTAAATACCGGATGCTCTGCACTGGCAGACTTACCCAGAGTTCTTAGAGAGGGTGATACAGGTGAGTCATTGCTGATCATTGTTGGAGGTAAACTCTCGAGTGATCTGGAGAAATGACAGAAACGACATGGCAAAGAAAGTTTCAAACGAATAAATTATGTTGCAAATGATTTCTTTACAAATAATTTATCTGGTAAATCTATTGATATCAGCCTTACTAATGATCCAATTGAGTTTAGTATAACAAGATAAGCAGATTATGATAGGTCCTTAATGATACAGTTCAGGCACAACATGGCTTTTTAACAACACGATGAAAGTAAAAACCATTTATTTTACTGACCTGCAAGTTGGAGTTCCACTGGGATGGGGGCTGTCCACTTGTGGGCTTTCTGGTGGTGTAGGAGGTGGGTAGATACAGTTGGGATCTCTTGGCACAATGCGGTCCTTCAACAGGTATGTGATCATGTCACCTTTACCTTTGACAGGAACTTTACCTCGGCATTCAAATGTGAAGACATTCTTAAGAACTGCATAAACTTCTTCTGTGACCTGGAGTGGCAACATTTTAAAATTATATTTTTTTGATATTTTTCAGACCCTCTTATAATGATGCCCCGAGATCAAGCCGTCCTGATTTTAACACTCAGTAATGAATTATTCAATTTAAAAGGAAAAAAATGCCCATGTATACTCGTCAATATTAGCAAATAATTTTATGCCAGCTAAAAGATTGTATGAAGAAGCATATAAACCATATTAAGGAAATTGTTTAGGGAAAACAACTTAACCATTTACCTGCCAGACTGCACAGTGATAGAACAGCTTACCTGAACAGTGATAGAACAGCTTACCTGAACAGTGATAGAACAGCTTACCTGAACAGTGACAGAACAGCTTACCTCAACAGTGATAGAACAGCTTACCTGAACAGTGACAGAACAGCTTACCTCAACAGTGATAGAACAGCTTACCTGAACAGTGACAGAACAGCTTACCTCAACAGTGATAGAACAGCTTACCTGAACAGTGACAGAACAGCTTACCTCAACAGTGATAGAACAACTTACCTGAACAGTGATAGAACAGCTTACCTGAACAGTGACAGAACAGCTTACCTGAACCCTCCCTGAAACTCCAGTGCTTTCCATTCGACTGGCAACATTAACTGTATTCCCCCATATATCATACTGAGGCTTGCGAGCTCCGATGACTCCAGCCACTACTGGTCCAACGTTAATACCTTCCAGTAAGGAAAAAATATTGGTCTTATTTTTCTTATTTAAGTTCAAGTTCAAATGTATGACTTGACAAAGGTATACCATTAACTAAACAATTTAAGCGCCTAACGCATTCGCTCCCTCAAGCTTACCAACTCGTAGCTCAAAATTGTTGTAAGAGTTTTCATTGATGTTTTTCAATTTCTCCTTCATGGCCATAACAAAATCTACCAACATCGTGATGTAAAATGTTATGGACTCATCTCTCACCTGGAAACATCAAAAATCAAATTTAAATATCACGATCTCATTTTAAGCATTTTTAAAAGGGAGTGGGGTTTGATAAAAGCAAAAATTTTTTAAAGATAGTTTCTTTAATTTTCATTAGCCTTCACAGACAGAATTCAACCTTATAGAAAACATTGATTTATCTGTTGTAGTTTTCCTTAATTTATAATATTCTTGTAATTATATTCTTTTATGCTGCTGATTTTTAAAAATAAACCAAACACATATACCAGGTATACATAAAAATGTATGGGTAAACAATTATTGAACTTAATGTAGGCTTAATATTATTGAAGTAAAATTATAAGCCAAAAAGAAGCCTTTATCAGATTTTCATAAATTATGTGCAAAAAATTCCCAGAACTTTATTTTCTTAATTTTGCAAAATGGAGTTAAATGTCTTAATGGCCATGAATCGACATTGACCTTATTCAGACTGAACCATTTGACAGGAACATCATATGACCAATCTTAACTTAATCCAAATGGAAATAAGTGGCCTACCTTGACCAAGTGAGAGGGTTTAAGTCCTGTAGCTGCCATGTAACAACTCCCAATTGTTTTAATTTTTTCAACTCCATAGAAGTAAGGAACATCAAGTAACTAAAAAAAAAAATTTTTAAAACAGTTGAAAAGTTTTTATTTACAATTCAATGTGGTAAGAATTGAAAAGTTTTTAAAATATTGATTTTAAAAATACCATCATTGGGAAATTTCATATAGTAACTTAGTTACAAGCTTCATCCACTGGTGTGACAAACATTTACTTCAGTTCAGTGTCTCAAAAACCGAAGAAATGGCTGCCGATTTCTGGAGGGGGACTAATCATATTGCAGATCTAACAATAAAAAAAGCACAGTAAAGAGCTAGTAGAGACATGCATGTACCCAGGTGTCACCATATAGAGCAAGCAGAGAAATGGGTTCCCGGGTGTCACCATATAGAGCAAGCAGAGAAATGGGTGCCCGGGTGTCACCATATAGAGCAAGTAGCGACATATGTGCCCAGGTGTTACCATATAGAGCAAGTAGCGACATATGTGCCCAGGTGTCACCATATAGAGCAAGTAGCGACATATGTGCCCAGGTGTTACCATATAGAGCAAGTAGCGACATATGTGCCCAGGTGTTACCATATAGAGCAAGTAGAGACATATGTGCCCAGGTGTCACCATATAGAGCAAGTAGCGACATAAGTGCCCAGGTGTTACCATATAGAGCAAGTAGCGACATATGTGCCCGGGTGTCACCATATAGAGAAAGTAGTGACATATGTGCCCAGGTGTTACCATATAGAGCAAGTAGTGACATAAGTGCCCAGGTGTCACCATATAGAGCAAGTAGTGACATAAGTGCCCAGGTGTCACCATATAGAGCAAGTAGCAAAATATGTGCCCAGGTGTCACCATATAGAGCAAGTAGGGAAATATGTGCCCAGGTGTCACCATATAGAGCAAGTAGTGACATATGTGCCCAGGTGTCACCATATAGAGCAAGTAGCCACATATGTGCCCAGGTGTCACCATATAGAGCAAGTAGCCACATATGTGACCAGGTGTCACCATATAGAGCAAGTAGCCACATATGTGCCCAGGTGTTACCATATAGAGCAAGTAGCCACATATGTGCCCAGGTGTCACCATATAGAGCAAGTAGCGACATATGTGCCCAGGTGTTACCATATAGAGCAAGTAGCGACATATGTGCCCAGGTGTCACCATATAGAGCAAGTAGCCACATATGTGCCCAGGTTTCACCATAAAGAGCAAGTAGCGACATATGAGCCCAGGTGTCACCATATAGAGCAAGTAGCGAAATATGTGCCCAGGTGTCACCATATTGAGCAAGTAGAAACATGTATGTGCCTAGGTGTCACCATATAGAGCAAGTAGAAACATGTATGTGCCTAGGTGTCACTACATAGAGCAAGTAGAGACATGCATGTACCTAGGTGTCACCATTAATCCTATGCTAACATGACATGATCACTACCTCATTCTACAAGTAGAGACATGCATGTACCTAGGTGTCACCATTAATCCTATGCTAACATGACATGATCACTACCTCATTCTACAAGTAGAGACATGCATGTACCTAGGTGTCACCATTAATCCTATGCTAACATGACATGATCACTACCTCATTCTACAAGTAGAGACATGCATGTACCTAGGTGTCACCATTAATCCTATGCTAACATGACATGATCACTACCTCATTCTACAAGTAGAGACATGCATATGCCTAGGTGTCACCATTAATCCTATGCTAACATGACATGATCACTACCTCATTCTACAAGTAGAGACATGCATGTACCTAGGTGTCAGCATTTATCCTATGCTAACATGACATGATCACTACCTCATCCTACAAGTAGAGACATGCATGTACCTAGGTGTCTGTCACAAATGACTGGGTCGGGGGTTAACAACAGAGCTCCATTGTTCTTCAGATAACTTATGGGATGAACGGAAATTGCTGTGATCTTAGGGAGGGAACTGTTGGGCGCATGGGGGTAAGGCTAATACATTCTCGTATCTTTTAGATTAAGGGGATGCTTCTTTCCATAACATTATGTCTCGGATTTCCCAGACTTCGTGTGACAACTTTGGGGTTGACGACGGAAGTTCCTAATTGACCGGAAATGAGGGGGGTATAGATGGGTTAATTGCCAGCATTCCTGGACCACCTAGGGAGGTAGAGAATGGTATATAACATAGAACTCTTCGTGGCATAAAGGTTGACGACGGAAGTTCCTAATTGACCGGAAATGAGGGGGGTATAGATGGGTTAATTGCCAGCATTCCTGGACCACCTAGGGAGGTAGAGAATGGTATATAACATAGAACTCTTCGTGGCATAAGGAGAGGGAGATATTCATGGACGGTCGTTCTGTTGTAACAGACGTAGTATTACTAGCCGTAGTCAGAGATAGAATTAGGGATAGAAAGCAAAGTGTTAACAGTTAGAAAGGAGACATTACAATCTTATTATAGTGATCAATACATCTTTTACTTATAACTGTTAATGAGGAGTTGTTTATTCATTCATTCGTGTTCTGTGTTCTCTTGGTCGTACTTCTCAACGCCTGGATTAGTGAACCATCACAGAAAGGAACGGCCCAGTACTATTCATAACACCACCAAAACCACGTGGTACATGACCATAAGTACGGCCATTACCTCCTAATACCATCTCATCTGTGACAGTGTCACCATTAATCCTATGCTAACATGACATGATCACTACCTCATTCTACAAGTAGAGACATGCATGTACCAAGGTGTCACCATTAATCCTATGCTAACATGACATGATCACTACCTCATTCTACAAGTAGAGACATGCATGTACCTAGGTGTCACCATTAATCCTATGCTAACATGACATGATCACTACCTCATTCTACAAGTAGAGACATGCATGTGCCTAGGTGTCACCATTAATCCTATGCTAACATGACATGATCACTACCTCATTCTACAAGTAGAGACATGCATGTGCCCAGGTGTCACCATTAATCCTATGCTAACATGACATGATCACTACCTCATTCTACAAGTAGAAACATGCATGTACCTAGGTGTCACCATTAATCCTATGCTAACATGACATGATCACTACCTCATTCTACAAGTAGAGACATGCATGTACCTAGGTGTCACCATTAATCCTATGCTAACATGACATGATCACTACCTCATTCTACAAGTAGAGACATGCATGTACCTAGGTGTCACCATTAATCCTATGCTAACATGACATGATCACTACCTCATTCTACAAGTAGAGACATGCATGTGCCTAGGTGTCACCATTAATCCTATGCTAACATGACATGATCACTACCTCATTCTACAAGTAGAGACATGCATGTGCCCAGGTGTCACCATTAATCCTATGCTAACATGACATGATCACTACCTCATTCTACAAGTAGAAACATGCATGTACCTAGGTGTCACCATTAATCCTATGCTAACATGACATGATCACTACCTCATTCTACAAGTAGAGACATGCATGTACCTAGGTGTCACCATTAATCCTATGCTAACATGACATGATCACTACCTCATTCTACAAGTAGAGACATGCAAGTGCCTAGGTGTCACCATTAGTCCGATGCTAACATGACATGATCACTACCTCATTCTACAAGTAGAGACATGCATGTACCTAGGTGTCACCATTAATCCTATGCTAACATGACATGATCACTACCTCATTCTACAAGTAGAGACATGCATGTACCTAGGTGTCACCATTAATACAATGCTAACATGACATGATCACTACCTCATTCTACAAGTAGAGACATGCATGTACCTAGGTGTCACCATTAATCCTATGCTAACATGACATGATCACTACCTCATTCTACAATTAGAGGCATGCATGTACCTAGGTGTCACCATTAATCCTATGCTAACATGACATGATCACTACCTCATTCTACAAGTATAGACATGCATGTACCTAGGTGTCACCATTAATCCTATGCTAACATGACATGATCACTACCTCATTCTACAAGTAGAGACATGCATGTACCTAGGTGTCACCATTAATCCTATGCTAACATGACATGATCACTACCTCATTCTACAAGTAGAGACATGCATGTACCAAGGTGTCACCATTAATCCTATGCTAACATGACATGATCACTACCTCATTCTACAAGTAGAGACATGCATGTACCAAGGTGTCACCATTAATCCTATGCTAACATGACATGATCACTACCTCATTCTACAAGTAGAGACATGCATGTACCTAGGTGTCACCATTAATCCTATGCTAACATGACATGATCACTACCTCATTCTACAAGTAGAGACATGCATGTACCTAGGTGTCACCATTAATCCTATGCTAACATGACATGATCACTACCTCATTCTATTTAAAACAAAAAAAAAAGTTCACCAAAGATTTTCTTTCTTAAAAAGTTACACAATTTTGGTGATAATAAATAAACAAAATATTAACATTTTCTACAGTGCAACAATTGGAAGCCTACTGGTCTTTAACATTACCACCTGGTGTTGTAATTTATTGCATCTCATCAAACACTAATTAAACAGACAAGAAAGCAAGTTATATAGCTCAAACAAAACTAGCTTTGCTTGAAGAATTATTTTAAGCAAATATGAATTTGTAAAACTACAAAAATGTTGGTGAATACATCCGACCCTGTTCACCACAAGTACCTAAGATCGGCTTGATCAGCTCGATCAGGCAAATTCTTTCCCTTTAAGTTAGCACCAAAATATATGAAAATTCATGTGTTCCGTAAACTATCAGAATTTACCAATGTGCTCTCCCTGCTGTTGCAAAATCGAAGCAATCACTCTTAATGTCAATAATGAGAAATACTTGAGATGTCTTATGTTAAACTGTTCTAATAAAAAAATGTTTATTTTTGTAAGAATATTGGGGATGTTCTGAAAATGAATATGTACATTTTAGTCAACAAAAATTTCCATTAATTTGGATCAATAAAAAAATCTTATCTATCTCATCTTATCTTATTATTATGATTTACTATGAAATGATGAATGAAAATACAACACTACCTCATCAAAGTCAGCTATAATTTCATTGAGAACTCGCAGACATTCAACTCCTTGATTATTTGCAGCCAACTCAACATAGAAGTTTGAGAAGTTTGGAATTGAAGCAAAGAATACGGCCACTTTGTTATATTGTTGACTGTATAATTCCTGAGAGGTACAACAAATTTTGTAATTAACACCATAAGAAAAGAAATTACTTTAACAAAGCTTATTTAGCTTGACCAAGAGTTTCATAATTGATTAAACAATCTAATGGGGAACGAATGGATGATAAATATTTTTTGTTAATCTCATAATTAACAACAGCATGATTAATATAAATCTAAGTCATATAACATGTATTTGATTAATTGTCATTTATAAACAGATCTTACCAATCATTTTTGGTTAGATGTAAACAATATTAACTTTAAGCCCGAAGAGTACCCCAAATCCCCGGGGAAAAATTTTCAATACATGTGTGAAAATGTAAAACTATTCATAAAAACAAGTGAGGTGCCCCAGATTTGCCATGCTATTGTGTTTTGGTATCAGGCACTCCTGTACTTAGATAATAGCAAAACAAAATTATTAAATCTCTTCAAATTCTTTCATACTCAGCCCCTACCCTCCTCCCATTTCTTTCATTCAATTACCATGTGACTGTTTGTCTGTAGGTTGAGAAAATGGTTGGCCACGTGTTCAGGTAACAGATTGCATAAAATTCTAGAGTTCTGACGTTGCAGTTCCTGCATTCCAGATTTTTCCTCTGTTGCCTGAAAGCAAAACAGATCACACAAATTTTAATACAGGACTTATTTATTTCTACCAATAAGGAGAATATAAATATGCAATAGACATCCAAAATAAACAATTGGTTATTGGCAACGTAACATTGTTCAGGGCAACAGAATAAAACTTTTTAAGCACCTGACAATGACCGATCCATTAGTGCCATGAAGATTGTAAAGCCAGACCATAAAGTCTGGATTTAAACAAAACAATAAACTGCATGAACCATAAGCTTACTCATATTTTTGTATTGCATATAATACTAAATGTCATGATAAAATTTAGTCATATTCAGTACCAGAACTTCCATGACATGAGACATGTTGTTGAGCTGACATCTTTGAGATTTTGTTTAAAATCAAAGTAAGTTGAAAGGACAGACCAATACAAGATCTCATTTAAAAGGTAAGCATTAACTCTCATCCATTATCAATGGTGATTATTGACACATTTTTGATTATGGAGTAAAGTACAAATAATCTAGCCGAATAGAAACCATCTTCATGCTTCTCAATAATGCTCAATAATGCTAAAATATTTGAAGATCTCACCTTGAATTAATAGTTGATGTTTCATAAAATATTCAAAATTTTATGCAGTTAATTTCTGACAAGAACGAAAATTTTAATTTTAATTTTGAGGAATTAAAACTAACAAACTTCCCCGAGCGTTTTTTTTTAAAGCCTTGTTCTTAAACATTTATTAAATAAGAAATGGAGAAACAGTGCATCTGTAGAACAAAGAATGGTAAAAAAACTGCGAATGGCATAGGAAGTAAATACTTGAAGTCAGATCAGATCATAAATTAGTTTTTTGGCATCACTGTAGAGCAAGATTTCATTAGCTGTTTACATTAAAGAAATTGATCATGCTGTCATTCCATATGGGATATATCAAGTCAAACAGAGAGTAAACTGTTAAAATCAACCAAAAAGGATAGGTTGGACATTCCTGCATAAACAATTTATTACAAGTTTTCCCAATATTACTATGATTTTTTTTTTAGACATTTCAGATGCTTTTAGCATTTATGTAGCAAGCGGTCTATTAAAACTGTATTATTTAATTTAAACAGAAAAAAGTCAATATTTACAACAAGGGAGTACATTTTATGCAAGTAATATACATTTGTTAGCAACGTTTTTAATGAAAGACATTTTTTTTTTTAAATTAGATTATATGGATTAAGTTACACATTATGCTTGCTAATCACATTCAAGATAGATAGATGATTTCAAGCAAGTATATTTCTGTTTTATCTCTGGGTTCTTGGTTTGTTAGATGACACAGATGAAAGCTATGTGTCTGTATGACTTTAAGGTAAACAATGGTGGGACAACAGATATAGAAAAATCAAGAAAATTATTTATGTGTCTAAAAGGAGCAGAGAAATCACACAAATCTCATTCTGCAATTTTTTGTTTAACTTGCAACATATGAATGACTGAACAGTCAAATAAAAACTTAAATTATTATATTAATATAAATATATTGTTGGTTACAAAGATAGATTTTAAGGCTGAGAAAATTAATTTTAACTTCCTGATGTTTCAAAATAGTACTTTCAGTATATGACATCTAAGCTTTCATGCAAATATCTGAGATAACTTGATTTCAGGTTCAGCAAAAAGTTTATAATTAAAAAAAAATGTTAACATCATCAAGACAATTGAATGCAATTTGGTCTTAATAAATATATTGAAGTTGCTGACTACAATGGTTAGTCCTTATGCTGAGAGGTAACTCACCAGGGTGTGCTGTTGAGGTAAAGTAATTTTACACTTAGCCTTGGATAATTTAGTGAAATAATATAAAGGGATTCATTTACAAGAAAAGAAAATACATTCAATTATTTTTTTAAAGAACCTCAGGCTCTTGTTAGAATAGGGTTCTTGGAACTCTGCCTCTTGTTAAAAAAGTTTTCTTGGAACTCTGCTTCTTGTTAAAATAGACTTCTTGGAACACCCTTTTAAACAGTTATTTTTTTAAATTTATCTTTAACTTCAATGGAGCTTTTATGATTGCATACACATTTGATTGACTGTTAAAGATTTGGCTGAAACTAAAAGAAAGGATTTGACTTTGATGCAGTTCAGAGTAAGATTTAACTAATCCCAAGGTCTATGGTATGGAAACAGCATAAAAACAAAATTTAAAAAATAAACACAAAGAATTTAAACATAATCTTTACTTTCCTACACAAAAAAACAAAAAAAATTCTTACTTCACCCTAAAAATAATGCAACACTTGTACATTTCATCATTTCAAAATGGCTGATTGAATAATCATATGAATTCAAAGTCCAAAAAAATCTTAAGGAAAAAAAATGGGTGAAAAATTTGTTCATCTTACAAATAGACTATACACACCAAACTTTATCTTACTTTATCTGACCCTTATGATGACTTACTTGTGATTTCCATAGATAATCTAGTCTTAGTGTCCACTCCTGTTCTCTGTTCTGGAGTGAGAATCCTAGGAGAAACATGACAAAAGCCAGGATGCCATACACATCAGTGGGCATAAAGGCACTGGATGAAGTAGTAAAAGAATCATTATAAAATCATGTACACATTAGCCACATCAAAATAAGTAATAAGAGTCTCATTTAATAACTTGAAAGTCTGTTCTATAAATGGAAGGTAATTCACATTTGGTTAAACTATGAAATAATGGACATTCAAATGCATCTCTGCGCTGACTTGGGATCCAATTTCAAGTTTTTTCATTCATTTTTTTAATTTTAAAAAATAATCTTTAATTTAAAAAATAGGCTCCATAGTCCGACAGTGAAATGAAAGGCAGGTGAAAAAGTGTCTTTAAAACATATTCCTCCCCTAAAGAGTCAGGTGAACTTATGTTAATGTAGATCTGACGTTTACATTGTCATTCTATCTGATGCTGATATCTGGATGTGTTGCTGTAGTTTCATCCTTTTGCCTTTCAGAATTTGTTACCAAATTTTTCTTAAACAAAAATGTTAATGGTCTACCATTGTTGGTTATGTTGATTACCATATGATATTTTATGCCAAATAATATGATTTAATAAATATGTACAATGCTATCAAAAACCATTTCCATTTATTTGGATCAATAAAAGAATCTTATCTTATCATCTTATCTCATCCTATCTCATCTCATATGATCTTATATTATCTTATCTGATCTCATCTTATCTCATATTTTTGTATCTTTTTTCATCATATCTATCTTGTCTCATCTCATATCCTCTTATCTGCCTTATCATATCTCATCTTATCTTGTCTCATTTTATCTCATCCTATCTTATCTTACCTCAAATCATCTTATCTTATCTTATCTTACTTAGGACATGATTGTAACAGAACTCACTGGGTCACATCATCAAATTGGGCAAACAAACTCTTGTGAGTGAACTCCATGACCACAATGTGTCCAGCAGTGATGATGACCATGCAAATGACCTTTATTAATGGGTTTATCTTGATGAACAGGGCTAAGAGAAAGAAGCACAAGATGCCAGACACAATAATGTAGTTGGGGTCACTGCAGGTCAAATGTCTGTCTTGATTCATCAGACTCAAACTGTCCAGAAATGACAGGCCATGTCCACCACTGCAACACAGCTGGTTGATGAAGAAAACGAAACACACAAATATGGGGAGAGTTACATAAAGCTAAAAATATATATAGAAATGCATAGAGGTGTTTAAACAATTAAAGAGAGCAATGTATATTTAAAATGTGTGATCTTACAGAACTTTTTAGTTTGAGTGTTTGGAGATTTCACAAGAGCTCTCAATTCTTAGTAATTGATACTATGTTAGCTCAGCATTCTTATTAATTAATACTAAGTTATTGGTTTATCGGATTAAAGGACCAGTTAAGAGGAATAACCACTCACTACATTAACTTGGACCATGAGGTAAGGTATAGAAACAGTTGTTATAGTCAGGAACACACGTAGTCTGGTCCACTTGCTAAGGTCAACATTGGTGCACTGTTAGAAATAGAGGATGGCAAAATAAATCAACTGGAAGACAACTCTGCATTCCCTCTAAACTAAAAGAAAAAATTTGAGCTGTTTCTGAGTGGATATTAAATATTTACCTCAAATTCATTTTTATAAAATATGTTCTATTTTTTTAAAAATATATTTAAGGAAAAATCAAGGAATAGAGAACAGACACACAAAAATTAATAGAAATTACTAAATTACTTACTTTAAGTTTTGTGCTAAGAATAAAAATAAGAATAGTGGATGGCCAAGCAAAGGCAACAATAAACAAAATCAGGAGGAGGTAAGTCCTGGGTAGAATGACCACCTGTTGAAGATGACCAGGAAATATTTCTTTAGAGAAAGAATAAAAGATCTGGCAGGTTTTCTCTAATTTAACTAAGACAAAATTAACCGATGATTTTTGCTGAGTTTTCTGGACCATTGGTTTTTAACTGGAGTGCTGCAATGATACTCCCAGAGTGTAGCAAAACTGTGAACTAAAGTGCAACTGCTTCTTGGGCCATTTTCTCTAGCTGAATGAGGACCTATGAGACTTGGTCTTGGCACGGATGTGGGCTAATTTGAATAGGTTTTTGTCAAACCTGGTGTGGATGTAGACTGCCTAGTTGAACATTGAAGGTATATCCAAATTATGTGGCATGGGTACATGAATGCAGTCTTGTTTCATTCCCTGTCTGCCTGCGTAGTAGTTCTCCGATGTTCCTCAAATATCAATTGGATGATAGCAACCAAAGCCAATTAGTCCCTGGAGTCTGAAAAGTCTGCTCTGACTTAACTGCTCTAAAGATTTCATTAGGTCTATGACAGTAAAGACATTGATGTTTGTAGGGGTAGCTGCTGCTTATTTAAATATGTATTAACTGAATAAGGAAAATGTAGCAGGAATGCCTCCATTAGAAAAAGGTTGAAAACTACCAATCTAAAGAAATTACAACAAAATTTATGAGTAAAAGTTTGGAAGGCTTTCAAATTTTCTGAAGTTTATATAATTTACTTCTATAGTTTTAATATATGGTAACGCTCTGATTTAATTTCATTTTGGTGACCATATCTTGTTGACCTACCTGAAGGCCTACCATCAGTACCAACATTATAAGTGTGCACACCAAGCTACAACCAAAAGTGATGTCTTCTGTTGCCTGGTACTGGAGGCAGAAATGATTCAAACATTAAATTAGTTTGTTGACAGATACTTAAGAAAAAAATATTTATCTAGAATTAGAATGGATCCTAAACATTTATTATTCTTACTTCAAATTAATTAAAAATTGATTAGAAATGATCTTAGTTCATAGTAATATCCAGTGTTGGTGGTAAATCATGAGCTACATGTTCATGTAGGTTACATTGACATTTTCTATAATTCTAAAATTATATTTTGAATTAAATGAGGCCAAAGTGTGTAAACATGTGTAAAATTAAAATTTATTTGAAAGTCATTTGATAAACTAATTAATAATATACCCAAAAAATCTTATCCAAATCAACTGAAGTTGTTTTCTACATTTAAGTACTTTATTCATAATGAAACATAAACCGATAAAATACTTTAAGTTCTACGGAAGTGAATTTATGAAAACTATGAATATCTCCCACTTTATCTATAGTGATCTGCCAATTTTTTTTATAAAGATCTCTACCTCTGTATATAAACATCTAACCAATTGTATATAAAAATGTGTCAAAATCTACCATTTGCTTGTGAACACTTGTCTATTATTATACCCATCTCCCCACTTACTCCATTCTCTTTGTCTTTGTTGGTAAAATTCAGGGTGAGAAAGTGAATGTTGTTGGATTTCTCTCTCTCAATACTTCTGGCAGTCAAAGCCTGCGCCAGGTACTTGTTGACCCTGTCCACTGGTGACTCTACCATTTCTTGCCTGTTTGATTTATTTTTGAAGACATTGCAATAATAACAACATGGCAATAAAAATCTCTTTGGGCATGCAATTGTTAACAAAGAATCCCCAAAAAATCATCAGAGGAGCTTTGATGTAACATACACTTATTAGGCAGATTAATGCCCACCATAGCATATACCATCCTAAAAATACAATCTAGAACTGTCATCCTATAAATACAATATAGATTTGTTCATTCTGACAGAGTTCTTATTGATTTAGGAAGCTCATACCAAAAGCTATAAAAAAAATTACAGTCCCAATACAGTTTTAATCGAGTTTCACAGATAGGCCTATTTATTGTAGATACATTTATCTTGCTGGCTAAAATAAATGTCTGAATTTAGTCGGAATATAACCATAATATAAATAGTTCAAACAAAATATTGCTATAAATTTTTAATACTGAGTAAGTTATCATACCTGTTCCTCAATGCTTTGTTGGGCTTTTCTGTTCCTACATTTTGCTGCAATAAAGATTTAGTATTAAACTATTTGGCCTCCATTTCCCAAAAACATAAAACAACGAATACTCCCATATGTGTATTTTACCATAGTTTTTAAGTAAACTGTAAACTGCAATATTCCATTGTCCATAAGTTATTTAAACCAAGAGACCACCTGGGTCAGAGCTGAAATAATGAGCTCTTTACACAGCTGTGGAGCGACAGGGAGGACAGACCGTTTTTTTCCACGTTTTACAACTAAAGGGATTACCCAACTCAAACTCTTGACAAAAAAATCTCTTAAAAGTCCTAATCAAATTTTCAGAACAAATGAAAGCTTAGGGTATAGGAATCAGGTGGTAAAACTATGACTGAAACTCCATTTCAAAAGTGCTCAAGTTAAATAATACAATTATATAATCGTCCCTGGTGCTTGAATTAGCTTTTCCTGTTGGGAACTTGCTCAAATACTTTGTCTTATTGTGTTAGTTAAAGGCACATTGTAACGTTGTCTAATTACTTGATTACTGCACTTTGTTTAACTCATTTTGCTTCAAAGTTTAACTATATTAGGTAGACTAACAATTTGAACGTACATAATCCTGCACAGAAATTGTGACACCTTCTTGTTTTTCAACCTCATCTGTACCCTGCAATGATAAAAATAAATTTCTTTGGTCCAGACAACTCAACAAAAATATACTATGAGCAGAGAACATCTCCACAGTTTAATTTAGTGAGCTAAAACCTAAAACATTTTCTTTGCCTGAACTAAAATGTTTGCTGCAAAATTATATAGAAAAAATCATATAGAGAACTTTAGATTACACTACAGAGTAATTAAATTTAATAGTCTGAGCACGGCTGGCTCAAGATGGGTACAAAGCGTGATCAAACCGTCGAATGTGACAAAAATTTTTACAATGAAAAAAATTAAAATCCTAAACTCTTCCCATAATTTTCCATATTGCGACAATTGCCTATTTTCCGCCAACCTAAAAATGTCTAGCTCCAGCCCTAAGTCTGAGGACCATATTTTCATTGCAAATTTTGACTGTGGGAAGGTGTGAAGGGAAGGGCTAGCCAGATTCTATATTCACCAAGTTGATATAGTTTCTACTTAAATAGCTAAATTACAAGAAACTGGTCTAAGCTGAGCGGTCGCATGACTTTTGGAGGCCCCCCCCCTTTTGCCACTTTCCAGTTTTGATATTTAGTTACTCACGTAAAATATTTAAAATATAATGCTTTCAATTTCCCCCCCCCCCATCTCAAATTTAGACCCCTTTAATGACCAAGGTCCCCTGCAGTCGTTGGTGTTGCAGGGCCCACAAGGGCTCTTATTCTAAGAATGGGTATTAAAATAAGGGGTTAGATTTTTTCATACGGATCAAATTGGTAAAATAAAAATCAACCCTATAACAGTGAGGGTCTAACAGCTTGCTTGGTCTTTATGACCTTGAATGAGGCAGGAAGTAGAAATGTCTTAGATCCTAAGGAACGTTTCTTGTTTAAAAAAGCTTTTTCTTATAATCTTCATCTACATTCACCTAGAATTTCGTTTAAATCCTTCTAAAACCATGAAGGTTCTAACAAGTTAGATGGGTACAACCTTTTAATTTATGTATAGCAAGCCCTAGAACAGTGGTTCTCAACATTCCTAACGCTGCGACCCTTTATAGTTCTTCATGTTGTGATGACCCCCAACAATAAAATTATTCTCGTTGCTGATTCATAAATGTGTTTTCCAATGGTCTTAAGCGACCCCTGTGTAACGATCGTTCAACCTCCAAAGGGGTCGCAATCCACAGGTTGAGAACCGCTGCCCTAGAAGAATAAATTAATTTTTGGACATGAACTGACCATAGTTTTGGAAACTTTTCCTTGATGTGGCATCGAGTCTCTTGATTGGCTGGTGGACAGCACGTCCGAGAATGGAATCTCTGCATTGAATTTGACCGACTGCATCAGCCGAATGACACAGTTGGTGACACCCTTGAAGGACAGCTTATGGGGTCTCATCCCCGTCCATTCACGTTGCAGGAGGACCGCATGTTGCTGTCAGAAGGAAATACGTGGCATGATATTTCAAAATATTTGACGTGATTAAGATCGCCTGATACAATTAATAGGATGTCAGAGTCCTGAATAGGAAACGCATGGCAATGCTTAGGACAGCTTTGTGTACTCAACTCAAGAAGTTCGTCTGTTTACACGTTAATTTTTTTTTTATTTGATTTTATTTTTTGTAATTCTTTGGACAGGTTGGATAAATCTTTGGTTAATTAGTAAACATAAATCTAAATAACTTCGTTGATTGGATGATCTCCATATGAAGCTTTCATTTCAAAAGGATTCTACTATTTAATCAATAAATATGGTAAAATATTGCAATCATTCGCAAAACTTTAGTGAATTATCTTATTTGCAACATTACAAATTTTGGGATTTACTAAGCCATTAACAAATTAGGCTCTAGAGTATAATTATTTCTTTTCATTTTTAACAAAAATCAAGTTATGCATCACTTATTTCGATCGACAGTAAGCTTTAAACATAGGAAATGAGTAAAACAAAGTAAGGTTAAAAGTGAAAAAAAAAAGGAGCGCAACAAAGCAACGAACGTGTCGGCAGGAAGCCTTCGTCAGCAAACATGCAACACACACACAAAAAAACAGAATACAATTTAAAAACTAGCACTTGGCTGAGAAGTACTACGTTGTTTTGTTGCGTTCCTTTTTTTCACCTTTAACCTTACTTTGTTTTACTCATTTCCTATTTTGCTAACCTGATTACAGTCTATCCCCTTATTACCCCTTTAGCTCTAAACATGTTAAATAGGTAGCGTCAGCTGACAACATAAATGTTTGGTGCATTGAATGTTTGATGCCTAAAATGTTTGGCGCATAAAGTGTTTGGTGCATGGAATATTTGGTGCATGGAATGTTAAGTGCATGGAATATTTGATGCATAGAATGGTTGGTGCATGGAATGTTAAGTGCATGGATTGTTTGATGCATGGATTGTTTGATGCATGGAATGTCTGGTGGATGGAATGTTTGGTGGATGTGGATGGAATATTAGGTGGATGGAATGTTTGGTGGATGGAATATTTGGTGGATGGAATGTTTGATGGATGGAATAAATGGTGGATTGAATATTTGGTGGATGGAATAAAGCAAGTGGGACACGAAAGAGCAGTAACAATACATTGACAAACATCTTTTTAACAGTTCATAATTTTCAGGAAATTAATTTTCTTTAACAAAATGTGCTCGTGTCAAAATTAACGTTATAATATTTCTAATCTTCTAATTTCCGCCTGGTTAATTCTCGTTAATCCAACGGCTAAAGTTATGTTGAAGCAGTTTTTACTAGAAGCAGTAGCAGCATCATTTCAGAACGAGTTTGGACACGTTACAAAAACAAGAAAATACCTAAGGTTATTATTTGGTTAGGGGATAAAGGCGGTGGTTATTTTAGTGATTGGAAGTAAGGGCATATTTGGAGTTTGAAAGTAAAGGCAGATTTGGAGGTGGAAGTAAGGGTAGATTTAGAGTTTGAAAGTAAAGGCAGATTTTGAGGTGGAAGTAAGGGCAGATTTGGAGTTTGAAAGTAAAGGCAGATTTGGAGGTGGCAGTAAGGGCAGATTTGGAGTTTGAAAGTAAAGGCAGATTTGGAGGTGGAAGTAAGGGCAGATTTGGAGTTTGAAAGTAAAAGCAGATTTGGAGGTGGAAGTAAGGGCAGATTTGGAGTTTGAAAGTAAAGGCAGATTTGGAGGTTGAAGTAAGGGCAGATTTGGAGTTTGAAAGTAAAGGCAGATTTGGAGGTGGAAGTAAGGGCAGATTTGGAAGTGGAAGTTAGGGTATTTTGGGAGTGGACGTTAAGGTAGATTTAGGGGTGAAAGTTAGGGCAGAGAGTCTGATATATTTTGGTTTGGAAGTAAATAAAAATTTGGGGTAGAAGTAAGGGTAGATTTCGTCATGGGAGCAAGGGTAGATTTGGGAAGTAATACAGTTGGATTTTGTTTGTTTTATTTCTTTTTGTGGTTGTTTTTCTTTCTTTTTTAGGTTGGGGGGGGGGTGATGGTCAACAGTCTAACTGTGGATAGTAAAGATGGCACTACTAGCATGCTGATGCTGCTAGAACAGGTCCATTTAGTCTATAGCTAGAGATAGTCTATTGTTACAGATTGTCTATTGCTAGAGATAGTCTGTTGCTAGAGATTGTCTACTGCCAGAGATTTTCTACTGCCAGAGATAGTCTACTGCTAAAGATAGTGTATTTCTAGAGATAGTTCCATTAAAGAGAAAATTTTAAAATTATAACTTTTGAATATTGAAAAGCACTTTTCTCAGGGGCCAATTATTAGTTTAATGAATTGGATCATTCTTAAACTCACTATAAGTTGTCACATGGCATCCACACCTCAGCACTCATCACCGACACTCACTATAAGTTGTCACATGGCATCCACACCTCAGCAATCATCACCGACACACTCACTATAAAATGTCACATGGCATTAAACCTCAGCACTCATCACCGATACTCACTATAATTTGTCACATGGCATCCACACCTCAGCACTCATCACCGACACTCACTATAAGTTGTCACATGGCATCCCCACCTCAGCACTCATCACCGACACTCACTATAAGTTGTCACATGAGATCCATGCCTCAGCACTCATCACCGACTCTCAGTATCAGTTGTCACATGGCATTCACACCTCAGCACTCATCACCGACACACTCGCTATAAGTTGTCTAATGGCATCCACACCTCAGCACTCATCACCGACACTCACTATAAGTTGTCACATGGCATCCACACCTCAGCACTCATCACCGACACACTCACTATAAGTTGTCACATGGCATCCACACCTCAGCACTCATCACCGACACTCACTATAAGTTGTCACATGGCATCAACACATCAGCACTCATCACCGAAACACTCACTATAAGTTGTCACATGGCATCCACACCTCAGCACTCATCACCGACACTCACTATAAGTTGTCACATGGCATCCACACCTCAGCACCCATCACCGACACTCACTATAAGTTGTCACATGGCATCAACACCTCAGCACTCATCACCGACACTCACTATAAGATGTCACATGGCATCCACTCCTCAGCACTTATCACCGACACTCTCGCTATAAGTTGTCACATGGCATCCACACCTCACCACTCATCACCGACACACTCGCTATAAGTTGTCACATGGCATCCACACCTCACCACTCATCACCGACACTCACTATAAGTTGTCACATGGTATCCACACCTCAGCACTCATCACCGACACACTCGCTATAAGTTGTCACATGTCATCCACACCTCAGCACTCATCACCGACACACTCACTATAAGTTGTCACATGGCATCCACACCTCAGCACTCATCACCGACACACTCGCTATAAGTTGTCACATGGCATCCACACCTCAGCACTCATCACCGACACACTCACTATAAGTTGTCACATGGCATCCACACCTCAGCACTCATCACCGACACACTCACTATAAGTTGTCACATGGCATCCACACCTCAGCACTTATCACCGACACACTCGCTATAAGTTGTCACATGGCATCCACACCTCAGCACTCATCACCGACACTCTCGCTATAAGTTGTCACATGGCATCCACACCTCAGCACTCATCACCGACACACTCACTATAAGTTGTCACATGGCATCCACACCTCACCACTCATTACCGACACTCACTATAAGTTGTCACATAGCATCCACACCTCAGCACTCATCACCGACACACTCACTATAAGTTGTCACATGGCATCAACACCTCACCACTCATCACCGACACTCACTATAAGTTGTCACATAGCATCCACACCTCAGCACTCATCACCGACACACTCACTATAAGTTGTCACATGGCATCCACACCTCAGCACTCATCACCGACACACTCGCTATAAGTTGTCACATGGCATCCACACCTCACCACTCATCACCGACACTCACTATAAGTTGTCACATAGCATCCACACCTCAGCACTCATCACCGACACACTCACTATAAGTTGTCACATGGCATCCACACCTCAGCACTCATCCCCGACACACTCGCTATAAGTTGTCACATGGCATCCACAACTCAGCACTCATCACCGACACACTCACTATAAGTTGTCACATGGCATCCACACCTCAGCACTCATCACCGACACACTCACTATAAGTTGTCACATGGCATCCACACCTCAGCACTTATCACCGACACTCTCGCTATAAGTTGTCACATGGCATCCACACCTCAGCACTCATCACCGACACTCTCGCTATAAGTTGTCACATGGCATCCACACCTCAGCACTCATCACCGACACACTCACTATAAGTTGTCACATGGCATCCACACCTCAGCACTCATCACCGACACACTCGCTATAAGTTGTCACATGGCATCCACACCTCACCACTCATCACCGACACTCACTATAAGTTGTCACATAGCATCCACACCTCAGCACTCATCACCGACACACTCACTATAAGTTGTCACATGGCATCCACACCTCAGCACTCATCACCGACACACTCACTATAAGTTGTCACATGGCATCCACACCTCAGCACTCATCACCGACACACTCACTATAAGTTGTCACATGGCATCCACACCTCAGCACTCATCACCGACACACTCACTATAAGTTGTCACATGGCATCCACACCTCAGCACTCATCACCGACACACTCACTATAAGTTGTCACATGGCATCCACACCTCAGCACTCATCACCGACACACTCACTATAAGTTGTCACATGGCATCCACACCTCAGCACTCATCACCGACACACTCACTATAAGTTGTCACATGGCATCCACACCTCAGCACTCATCACCGACACACTCACTATAAGTTGTCACATGGCATCCACACCTCAGCACTCATCACCGACACACTCACTATAAGTTGTCACATGGCATCCACACCTCAGCACTCATCACCGACACACTCACTATAAGTTGTCACATGGCATCCACACCTCAGCACTCATCA